TTAATTACACTTTCTGTGTGCCACACACAAAGATTGTATTTTATTGCCGTGAATGCAACTCATTGCAACAACAACAAGTAACTACTAACGACTTGTAAATATGGTTGTAAGTTTTCGTCAACTCTTTCTTTAATCGTTGTTGCTGCAATCGTTTATTGAGTTGAAGCGAACTACTGCAGCTGAGAGGCCAATTCGTAAAATGCAAGCAATTTTCTTTTATTATAATTGTGTGTGGCAAGCCTGCAAGGGTCGCCTTTGGTGCATGTTGCAGAAGCGACCATAATATTGATGTATGTATCAAGTCTGTGTGCGTGCAGATTTAAATCAATCATTGTCACACAATTCTTACATTATTCGAGTGGTGTGTCCTTTGAAGGACAATGATAATTTGGTTCAATTGTTGGCGTGAAGCTTCTCACTGCTGCTATTAATTCGTTACTTTTGTAATTGAATTGTATAAATTGAGACTGTAGTTATTTGTTGCTAAATATCTGCGGAAGTGGGGTTACACCGGCAAGGATAACTTTTGAATGCGCTTTACACCAAGATATCGCATATTCCTTATTGAATTTTGAACAAATAAATATATTMATTTAAGTTCTAAAAAATAATCAGAAAATAACTACATTGACCATAGATATACTATTTCATATTCTTTAAGCTGAAATGAAAGCTTATTGACTGTGTGAGATCGTGTCGTGAGATCGGTTCCTGAAATTCTATAAATCGATTTTCCAATTTCAAATTGCAAGTATTATCATCGGAATCTGTGCTGTAATCTGAGCGCTGCCCTAATCGTTACTATTGGGATACAACAATTGATGAAAGTCCTTACTGGACATGGTCACACAACTAGTTCGAGTTCGAAATCATCCCTGTTGCACAGTAGCTCAAATATATAAGAATTGTTCCAAACTACTCAAATAGTATTACGGTGCTCAAATAAATATATCCTCCACATAGCTCAAAAGTTCTTTTCCTACTTTGACCGGCTTGATGTTTGTGCTCAAACTGATCTAGGTTCATCATTAAAACAAGATTTCATAACATWAATGTATGGTATACTTGTTGCTATTTTTGTTGTAAAAATTCGGATGCAACTCGATGGACCAGCTGATCTGACATTTTTTAGTACTCCCTACCACCAGTAATTGTTTTCTTTAATTGAGAGGTTTATGAGTCTTACTGTCGTCGGACAGCGTGCATACATGTGGAAGTGTWGGTCCTCATATTAACAATATATTCATGAATGGATGTCCGGGATGAGTTCACTCCTMTTTTTTTTAACGCMTACGGATAGCTGGTTCAMTCGCGCGAATTCGTCTCCCTGGATGTCAATGAGCAGTGTTGCTTGATATCGTTCGGTAAGCACTTGTTACTCGTRTAGCAGTGMGCCTATGCACAGMATTTATTTGTTCGCCTSATAATCYTRTCTATAAAGAAASGTGGATTCCAATTTCGTCACTTTGACATTTTATTGCTTTTACAAAGACGTTCTGAGAATCCTAAATAGGCAAGATCCTTACTGGAAGCCGAGAAAATTTCAAGCTCCTTCTGTCTCCAGCTTACAACTGTCAAAACTGTGCATATAATAATTCCTACAAGTATTCCTAATTCCTAAAGCAATTCCTTGTATAAATGATATATTATTTTATACCCATGTACATACAAGTATATTGAACATTCTTTCGTGACCCTCCAATTTGACCAATGGAATTTTCTGAATTCTAATTTAAGTATGAGCCCACGTTGCTAAATTTACTTTATTTAACTATCGACAGCACCCATTGWTATTTCACATCAACTTAAATAATCTAAATTCTATCTTTACTCTCTTTACAGCAGAGAACGTAAAATGATATACGCTCTCTGTTTACAGTAAGCTAACGGCGAAATTCCCGTTATAATTACCAATAGGTGCATGTATTGGATAGCTGAAAGCGTCTTGGATAATAGYCCCACTAATTGGCTCATGTATTTGCTAAGCAGTTAAATTTTTTTTACCCAAGACAAGTACCATACATTAGTGGCTAAGTATGTAACAACTGCTTTATAAGACGAAAAATAACATTTTACAGGAAACTACTATGAATATACTTTTATAAAAACTTTTTAAACAATTTAGTAATTTATTGTAAGTATAGTTATATTGCGCAGTCGAAACAGTCTTTTCGTACTTTGTCAATATATGTCGTTGCAGTCGCRTATCTATAGTGCTACCAAWCACATTGTAACATACCATATAGTSTTAGGAAGGTGAGATTTTAARCTTCATTTAATCAGAAAGTWACAACTGTTCAAAAATKAGTGAAAATAATAAAGAAATTTGCTATAATATATTTTGAAATTTTTGTATAAAAAAGAATGTCAYACAAGCCACTAATGAAATTTGTGAAGTTTACAGAGACGATGCTGCATCAGTTCGYGTAGCACAACAATGGTTCGCTCCCTTCCATTGTGGAAATTTTTATGTGAAATATTGATTGTCTGTGAAAAATTTAATTGACCGAATTAACATCTGCGATTATTTGCCGAAACGAAATAAAATAGAACCATTTCTTAAGCTAGGAGACGAAAAGTGGATCAAATACGACAATAAAATAGCATTGGTGAAGCTCAGCAAATGGTCGCAAAGYCAGAATTGACACCGCGAAAGGTTATGCTGAGTGTTTGGTGGAATTGGAAARGAAGCATCCACTATGAGCTGCTCCAGCCTGATCGCACGATTGATTCTACATTTTACTGTCAACAACTGATGAGATTGAAGCAAGCAATCATAAAAAACGGCCAGAACTGATCGACAGAAAATGCTTCGTCTTCCATCAGAAAAACGCTAGAAGACACACACATCTTTGATGATTCAACTGGGAGAGCTTGGCTGGGTAATCTTGATGCATCCACAATACAGCCCTGACCTTGCACCATCGAAATACCACTTGTTTCGGTCAATACAGAACTGCCTTAATGGGGTAAAGTTGGCTTCAAGAGAAGCCTGTGAAAATTACTTGTCGTAGTGTTTCGCCGAGAAACCAGAAAAGTTTTACACTAGTGGAATAATATCTCTAGCAGGAAAAATGGCAAAGAAATGGTACATATTTGTTTCATTAAAGTTCATTATATGTGACTTGGTCTACGAAAAGGGAGCTAACGTGCGGAAACTAGTTTTCTGGAAAACTGCTGTTAAAATCTTATCTTCCATCCGAATTAACTAAAAAGTGAAAATTAATTTTTTGGATTTTTTGACACCTAAGCCTCCTTTCCGTAGACCAGGTCACATATATATAAAAAAAAATAAGTTAAAGTTTGAATAGAAATACGAAAAGACTTTTTTACTACTACCCAATATTCATTTTGGGGGGCATTCAGGGGCTGATCTGGCGCAAACCTACCACTTTTTATGGTAGGAGAAAAGCTTCTACTTATTTATGCTACCTAATATACCTGGTTATTGTGGGACAATGTTATTCGAGATTATTTAATAAAAAACCTTTCCGAATCAACCTAGATTATGCTAACCACACTGTTTGACTTCAGGGCTGTGAAGGAATTTAATATTTATTCAATATTTAGACTTTGTAGCTTTTGGCACCTAAGAACCCACATGTGATTAACAAAATACAATGTGTGACAATTTGACGTGGATTCCGCGTCATTTGCGTGTAGTTATTTATAAAGAGGCCGGAATTATATTTTAAACGTTTTTTCGGGAAATTGGCATTTAACAACTRTTTCAGGGACCGAAAAAAACGTTGGCACAAGTCTATTGGTGTCAAGTGGGATTTCTTTGAGGTGGACGACAAGATTTTGAAGAATGAAATTTCGAATTTTAAAATTGTGAACAAAGTCTTACAATTTTTTGCCCATAGTCAGTCAATCTGAATTATCTTAAGAAAATATGTCTATGTTATTATCAATTGCACTCGAACTTAATTTTCTGCTTTTTTATATAACAAAAATAAAGGAACACCACCTTAATACATATTTTTTGAATATATCTTTATTTTTTGTTTTTTTTTAAATTACATAATGTTACACGTGATTTCGTTGTATTACAATAATATTACTTTTTTTTTTTTTGTTTGCTGAATTTTCTTAAAATAAACTATTTTCGATATTTTTTTTTTAATATTTACAGTTATTACTTTGGTTTTATGAATTATAAGTTATTACCTAATTTAAGTTCTTAAACGCATTAAGACATTATTTTGAAGTATATTTTTAAATTACTTAAATATTTTTTACGTTGCTGATGACTACTTTAAATTACTAGGTGATTTAAGCTCAATTGAACAGTTATCTTATAAATAAAATGAAAACTAAAGTCTATTATTTTTTAAAAATATGCCCCAGTATGTAAGGACTATATACTATCTCAAAATATATTTATTAACATTTTTTTTTTTAATTAGATATTTTAATTATATTCATTTTATAAATTTTTATTATATTATAATGCAAGTCCAACCACTTAAAAACTTGTCACACAATATATATATTATGATTTTTACACGCATAAATGCTTTTTTTTTTAAGATTTTTAAAATTTTATTCATTTAGTTGAGAATATTTTACGTTTAACTGCTCTTTTTGAAGCCAATTCCAAAAGCTTTAAATTTACCCAAGTAAATTCAAATTTTGATTATACTCTATTAAATTCCAAACAAATAGCTAATTCTGCCAAAAATTWTCCATCCATAGAAATACATACATATATAGGAAATAATTTTTGAGATCAGAGCTTTTCTATAAGCTTTAAAACTTTCATAAAAGTTGCAGTAAAGCACAGCAATGAATTTCGAGAATTTAAAATGGGTTAGAAATATATTAAAAATTAGACACCTCTACTTTATTTTTATAAAGCTTTTTCATGATAAAAGCTTTTTATAAAAATATAAATTATAATTGTAAATCTACACAAAATTGTTATTTATTTTTTGAAAGTTCAATGAAAAATATGAAGTTTTAACTTTTTTCGAAGAAAGCTTTTATTCAAAGGAGCTTTTCTCAAACTAAGTACTTAGTTTTCCATAAATATAGGTTACAAACTATAAAACAAAAAAAAAAATTTAGAAAATTWAAGCTTTACTTGTGCAAGATTTTATTGTGAGCTTTATGAAATGAAAGCTCTCACCAACTTAATGCTGTAGCTGTACATCTCTTTTCTATTAACTGGAAGCTTTCAATTTTTTAGTTAGTTTAAAATGAATGAAAGCTTCAATAAAAGTAATTACTACTTAAAGGCACACATTTGTATAATTAAAAGGATGACTCAAGCTGTCCAAAATTTAGTGGTTGACATCGAAAGCTTTCACCTTAAGTGTGTGACTATTAAGCTCTCCAAAATTGTAGTGGCTGATTTTGAGAGCTTTCATTTAAATATAAAATTTACAAAAATTTAATGTTCCGAAGCTCTCCAAAACTGTAGTGGTTGATCTCAAAAGGTTTCATTTCAGGTGTGTTAGTAACTCACCAAAAGTGTAGTGGTTGACTTCGAATGCTTTAACTTCAAGTTTGTCATGTTCAAAGTGTAGTGGGTGACTTCGAATGCTTTAACTTCAAGTTTGTCATCATTTCACTTTACATATGTTTAAAGTTTATGAAAATTTCATATAGAAAGTAAATGCGAAGGCACCTCTTAATAAAGCTTTCATAAAATTGCCGCTTTACAACTACAACTTAGTAAAGGTATATTAAAGTATCTAAAAATCCGTTATTTAAGCTTATAAATATATTTTCTAAATAAGTTTCTACTGAAAGCTTTTGCTTTTCCAAAGCTTGAATTAACCATAAAACTTTAGGCACAGTTTATGTATATATTTAGACAAAGTATATATATATGTATTTCTAGGGCTTAATTTACATTAAATAGTTTACAACGTAACATTTACAACCCAGTCAAGTTGGACGGTTTTTGTTGTAGTCAAGTTAAGCACAATTGGTCTTCCCGCGCTATCGAGCTTCCACAATTTACGCTTCTGCTTCTTCTCTGCTTATATRTAGGCCACCTCAACTACATTGTCGTCTCTGAGTCGGGTGGCGTGTGATAGTTAAGATTGTAGGCTGGTGGTCCGCTATTCAGGAACGCCATAGATCGTATACTCTCACGCGACGCAGTTCGCTTGCCGAAAGGTATATTCTGCGGTGACGTGCTGKGGAAATTTGGCGATGGCAAGGGCGGTATATGCTGTTGACCAGCCACATGCGGATGTTGATGCAGCGGATTCGTTTGATACAAGGGCGGTGTGGCTGGGGCCACATGCGGCGGCAATGGTGGTAGAATTGGCAAATGTTGTGACTGCTGTTGTTGTTGCTGCGCCTGCTGCGTACCAGCAGACGGCGACTGTGTAGCAGCGCCAGTTAAGCCGGCGAATACATTCTCCGTAGCAGCCGAGTTCGACAAGTAGGAAGAGAGCGGCCGCGTGCCGTGGAAATTCGAATARCTGGAACGTACCGAAGGCGGTCGATTGTTATACAACTCGTCGACGTGTTCCACGTCATTGAGATTCGTCGTCGAATGTTGATAAGTCGGATTGAAGTGACCGGCTAGTGTGGGAGTCAGTGTTGGCGTAGGTGGTGGCTCATCGCCCACAATCGGTGATTGTGAATTCGATTGCCACGTTTGTTGGTAGAGACCCGTCTGCGCATTGGTGTTGTAATAAATCGGATCGGGCGGTATATTCTTACGAAAGCTATGATAATGATTATTATTGGTTTTCGTGAGACTGCCACYGCTCAGTAAAATATTATTCAAAGTACCGCCGGCATCAGTTGCCGCGGCACTTACAACTGTGCTGCCGCTTGTATTATTTATAATTTCCTGGTTGAGGGTCTGCAAATTCGAGGCCGTCAGGGGTGCTGGTACTTCCTTGTGTTGGAATGAGCCCAACTTCTGTTTCGGCTGGCCATGATGGCCGCCATGCGAATGATGATGATGGATATGCTGTTGTTGCTGTTGCTGCTGCTGCAATTGTAATTGTTGCTGATCTAAGAGTTTAGTCACCGGGTTCTGTTGATATTTCCTTCGCGAGCTGCGTGTGCTATTACGCGGATGTGTGCCGCCACCGCTGCTGCTGCTGCCATGTGTGCCGCTTTCACCGCGCTCGCCGCGTCCATGATGACTGCGCCGRCTGGTGGTCGATTGGCGGCTGTTCGTGCCGCGCGCCATCACCGAACGCCGCTTGACGCGTCGCGGTGTCATCGGCTTCGGCGACAACTCGCCGCCATCGTCACGGCCATGCAGGTGATCGTCGTAGTCGAGTATGGTGTCGGCACGACTGCGTATCGTGTCGATGCTGGGTCCGAATTCGATGGAGTAGAGCGATTGGCGGTGCTTGGACTTCTTGTTAACATGCCTTACTGTGTATTCAAAGCAAAGGTGAAGCGAAAAGTAGAAGAAGAGTGGGATTATTAATATTTGTGGCATGTTGTTCGTTTGCTTGGGCATGCTATGCACACACATATGTATGTATATATTATTTATGATTTAGCAATTGCGCACAGTTACCTGCTGGTTAGTTGGTTGTTGTTGGTTTTAGCGTTTTTTTTTTTTAAATTAGCACAAATCACCAAAAGAAAACAAAAGTTACGGAAAAATTTTCAACAAAAAACAAAAAAAAAATCATAAACAGGGTGGTTAGCACAAGTTAGGTGGAAAAAAAGATTTGTTTGCGTGTTAAAAAAATAATGCCAGAAACCGAAGAAATAAAAATAAAAAATATATAAATATTAATTATAAGAACAAATCTAATATAAATTAACCAAACTAATCTAGTTTACTTTACATCGCCCGAAAGTATAGTCTAAATGCTATAAATGGAAATTTATGCACCTGAGTGGGAGAGGTCTACATTTAAGCTGCAAGTTTTTTTTTTCAAATAAAAGTAAAAGTGGTTATCAGAGAGAAAAAGATAATAAAAGTTATTCATGAAAGAAGGAGTTTCAAATGCTGCTCTTCTTCTCTTCCCTCCTCTTCTCTTATCTTCTTTTCTCTTCTCTTCTCTTCTCTTCTCTTCTCTTCTCTTCTCTTCTCTTCTCTTCTCTTCTCTTCTCTTCTCTTCTCTTCTCTTCTCTTCCAATAATATGAGTCCTTGGAAATATTTTCCATGTCCGTATGAAGATTTTTATATCGAAATTTTATTTATAAAATATGAGAGAGAGAAAAAGAGCATGTTTGCACGAGCTACATACTAAAATTCAGAATTAAATCTTTATTATCCGTGAATTCTCTTAAGTTTTTTTGCACCGCTAGAATAGAGTACCTCTTAGTTGTTTTCGTCTATAACTAAACTTTTTATCAGCTGAGAGTTATGATAATTTAATTTGTATTGTCCAGTTTTCTTTCGTTACTTTCGAGAAAAATATAAAATAGCCGTCAAGTATAGCATATGTTTTTTCGGTGAAATGGAAAAAATATCGTCGAAAACTCTCTAAAGAAAATCTTAAAATCGTCAGGCAAGTKTTAGAGAGATGACAAGAGAGGTCGACATCTCTCACGAGTCCGTTCGAATGATTTTCGTGGATATTTTGGATATTTGGTTCTATTTAGCCGTGGAATCCATTTTCAGTCGACCGAAGAGATAGAACCAAAATTTGCTGAAGAAGCTGAAGGTCATCCCAAAAAGTGCTTATAAAAAMTGTTTCGAGCACTGAAAAACTCGTTTCCATATGTGTATTGTATCTGGTGGGGATAACTTTGAAGGCCACAAAATAAATATCGATAAATCATTAAACATTTTGCTTTTTGACAATTTCCGGATACTTTTTTCTTACAATGTGAGCAGAAGGAAACTACCACATCATTCATTATTGCCCTTTATTACTTAGTTTTAGAAATCTACTTTCTATACTATTATTTTTTTCCTGGAGAGTCTAAATTGCAAAACTTTGTTTTGTAAAAGTTTCCAATAAGAAATTTAAGACAAAATAAAAACTTCGAAAATACTAAAAATACCTAAAATTATATATAAAAAACGTGAATAAAAAAATCTGGATATTTATTAGTAAACAACTAAATATTCGTCCGCAAATTGCTCACAAAAGCACCTGCATAAAGTATAAGGATTATAAGCAGTACTCTATAAAAAATTACAACAATACTTTGTTTTTCTTGTGTATAGTTTGAAAAAAGGAAAACATTTATTTGAAACATCATTTCTTACTAATGCTCTTTAGTTCGTGTATATTTATTAGTTCATTTGTATGTCTGATACTCAGTTTTCTTACTAATAGTATTTTTTTTTTSTTTTGTTTTTATTTTTTTGTTCTTTCTTAAATATTAAAATTAAAGTTAGCATTTATGCTGCTTTGAGTTTTACAACAACATTCAATAATAGTAAGTTCAACTCTCGTTTTGAAGTTTAGCTCAATTAAAATGCTCTTTTAATCGAACGGTTTTTTCAGTGTTGGTAAGCTTAATTATAAAATATGTATGAACTATGTATGTATGTGTGTGTGTAATCATGTATTTATTTACTTCTCTTGCAGTTTTCAACATTTTCAATTACTTTCWATTAATTTATTATTTTTTCATTTAGAGAGAGACAGTGATTTAGTACTAACGCACACGCACAGCGAACGCATGCTCGCGTTGAGTGTTGGATAAGAGCTTAATTAGCCGACACACATAATACGAGCATACA